CATTTCCATTCAGCAACTGATTTGTATGGACTGCTTTTATCAGAACATCAAAAATTTACAAACTGCTTCATGTCTCTACGTTGTGTCTCTACTGAGTTTAAGAGGCTGTTGTGGTTGTATCGCGATAATGTACGGGTAAATGATGTAATGTAGTGATGGAGTGGTGAGCTATCGAAACTGATGCATGCTTTTCACAAATTCTATGAAATATAATATCCTAAAAACGCCGAAAACTTTTGTTTTTTCGAGTGATATTACGAAATAATGACAATATTGCCTTCACACTGTCGAATTATAGACAGAATGAAATAAATTTACAATAAATGTGGAAAAATATCGAAACAAATAGTTGCCAGTTCTGTGTTGTGTAAAATTATTCAACATTCACAATAACGACTAGTTTTAAATCTTCCAACAACACTTTCCAATAACAATACTCATCGATAGTATCATTGAGATCATCCAAAGACACAAGTTGCAAGATGTACTCTCATTCATCCATTCCGGCATTCATTAATCTTGCTTATTTATCTTCTGGCGATCTCATCTTTCTTTTCTATTGTCCTTGCTCAGCAAAACGTCTCAAATAGCAACTACGTTGACCTAACCACATTTTTGTGGAGTAATTTTCAATGTAGAATCACTTCAATTGCCTAATTTTTCACAGTATCCTCNTGGTTTAGGAAAACATCGCATTCTAACAGTCCGTCCCTTGTTCACTACTCGCGTGAGTTGAGAAGAACTGCGGAAAACACCCTTACACGTGAAGTCTCAAATGTACTTCTTCATTCTTGTTCTGTCGCCGGTTGTAATGTATTCATTTGACATGTTTGATGTGCTTACAGTGACATGGGATGATTTTGTCGTAATGTGATAATAAAGGCGATAGTGAATTGATATTCGGGGAGAGAGGAGGAGTTAGAAGGTTGATAAATAATAACGTGACATGATCAGATTATCATTACGAGGCAGGCCATCACAGAATCATTCATTCATCATCACCAAAAAATTATTTCACTTAGCGAGTCAGTTTCATCTGAACGCTTGCTCAGTGATATTCGAAATTCATTAAATAACATAAGATAATGAATTGTTGCCGCAAAGTAATCAGCCAGAAGATATGTGAATCCAATCAATTTTATTCAGTGTGAGTGCTATAAGTTTTATCATAACCATTACTATTATAACGCTATAATCAATATACTATTGTTATAGCGTTCGTTTACTATGCCATATGCAAACTAGCTATTGCCTCCTCATCTCGATAATACTTTTTGCGTTTCGAAAACATTGATCATTGATCATTACAACGTTGCTGTTCATAGAACCTGCTATAGAGACAGTCATAGCATTAGCGACAACTGCAATTTTACATTATACACTTGCTTTGCTTATGCTATGGAATCTGGCAGCTGATATTGACGAGATAATTTACTGTTCAGTAGCTTCAACTTCCACCCTGCTTCATCACGATATTTGCATTTACTANGAAATCATTAATTGATCGTTTGAATCGCATTGATTATGTGAAAAGTTGATTCAGCGAAGATGTTAGCAGTGAAATTGCTGCAAAAATGTGCCTCCACGAAGAGCCCTTCAACAGTGCCAGTGCAATTGCACACGTATCGCCTCATATCATCGTCCGGTTCGTCGGCTTCACCTTCAGCAACCGACCCGAAAGCACAGTTGGAGGATAGACAGAAGTCGATTGAGGAGCAAGTTAATCCGTCGTTCTTTCAGGTTTGGCGATGAAATATTATACAACAGTTTTTGACTGCCATGAGCGGAAATCGCATTTTTACGCAGTTTTACACGAGCGTTTCTTATTTCTGTTGTGCTTTTCGTGGATGTTCTTTCAATCGAACTGAACCAGATTCATAGGAATCGCTCAAAATCTTCGACTAATCAAATACGTTCTGTGAACTTGCTAAGCGAAGCTGATTAATGTTCAAGTTTGATAGCCAAAGAGTTATGTCGATGAGGACTCATGATTACATAATGAAAATTATAAGGCATTTTGCAACTGATTATCGACGCTTCCCAGTAGTAGCATGAAAGATGCTTAAAATTTCTTTTGATATCAATTTCTCACTGCTAAAAGTTTTTGATACAGATGTGATGCAATGATATTCGAGATGATAATGAGCCACTTTCATTGCAGATGGTTGACTATTACTTCGATAAAGGATCTGCAGTGATTGAGCCAAAACTGATCAGTGAGGAGACTGGTGGGGAGAAAAAACAGGATCTTGTACGAGGAATTCTAGCCAACATAAAGCCTGCCAACAAGGTTTGTTCATCAAACACGNCTACTGATTATTTTCAATCATATTCAAGCAGTTGTATTCAATAACGATGCAGAAGTGAGTTCTGAGAAGGCATTTCGATGGAAAAACGTGCCATTCGCATTTGTGATGATTTATTCCCTCAGAATATATGAATGTCTGAGCGATTCCGATGATAGATGAAAGTTGATAGATGAGACGACGTTCGTTTTGAGTGCTAATCAAGCTCGTGTAATTCGGTATTCATTGAGGTTGTCTGATGACTAACTAATCACACCTTCACTACGCAAAACTCATAATGAATGTGATCATTGGTCCGTTATGCTCTGCTTTGTGTGTGTGAACGCCGTTGTTGTTGCCATTGAAATATGTCTCCGTTGTCAGCAGCGAATATCGACTCAACTAACTCTTTCAGCTCTAAACCCTAAACAATTGAGCAAACATGCAGACCTACGCAATTAGTTCTCATGTTATCAGCGGAAATCGCCCTTGTACAATCATTTTTGAAAATAAGATTATCCAAGAATGCATTATATGAGCATTGAATGCACGTATGTAGTGGGTTAACCACTAAGTTTACCCCATGTCCACTGATGATATCGATTCGAATCATGCACATCCATTAGTTTGGCCAAATGCTTTCCTCAGAGAACTCGTAGACTTGTCATGATATTCATTCACAACAGAACTTTCGTTTTCGAGTTCGAAACTTTAAGGACCCCTTGAATATTGAAGTGTGCGTATAGAGAAAGTGATTGTTGTGCGCAGAATTTTTCATATAGCAACGAGGATGAAGAACGACTGAAATACTGATGTGAAACTGGTTAAGTGGTGAGAAGAACATGAGAAGATTGATGACGGAATAAATTTGTGCACGTTGTGAAGTTTTTTAATGGTCACTGTAAACCCATTTTATGGACGAAGTAAAAACATAATCGGGTTCTTTGGCTGCCTGCATGCGATTGATTTGTAATTTTACAAAGCAGTCACGCAACTGATTCTCGTCTCATCTTATACGAGATAATTTATGAACTACTAATTTTGCTGTGTGTCCATTGGGAAGATTCCGCATTCTNGTCATTTTTAACACATTAGCGATTTCTCTTGACTTCAACGTTCAGTCAGAACAATTTTTCATCGCAGTGAGAAGGGAACGATGGTTCGAGAAAGTAGATTTACAATACGAACGTCTCATGAGATTCATCATTTCGCACGATAACTCAGCAACTTCGCTCAGCAATCATAATAACTCAAAACACAACAATTAGAATAACTTCAACATGCAAGCGACTCCAAATACGAAAACTCAATATAATATTGGGGCACAATATCGAGTAGTGTTCTGACTAATTGTTCATTGCTTCAGGTACTGCATATTACTTTCCCAATACGTCGCGATAATGGCAAATTTGAACTGATCGAGGCATGGCGTGCTCAACATAGTGAACATCGAACTCCAACAAAAGGCGGAATTCGATATTCGGAAGATGTATGTGAGGATGAAGTGCGAGCGTTATCTGCACTCATGACCTATAAATGCTCTGTTGTGGATGTGCCTTTCGGTTGGTTTGACTCCATCTTCTGAATGTTCACTTGTTTAGTCGGTAGGATCTTACTCGTCACTTCCAATCATTGTTCACAGCAGTCAGCTTCAATTGATTCAAGAGATCCTTCCTTCTAAACCAGTGGTTTTCAAAGGGGGTGAAATTACCCATTTTGGGTGATTTGGTGTGTTGTCAAGAGGTAATGGAGGGTCGGGAAAATAGTATTTTGTGCTATTGTCACGTTATGGTAGAACGCCATTGTGACGGTGTTCTTCATCTCGGATATGTAAATGCGGTTAGCTGAAGCAACATTGAAATTACATCCATTTGTCTCTAAATGCCGTTTCAGCAAGGTTTTCATTCTTTTCCTTGCTGTTATAATCGCTCTCATAGCTTTTATCACCAAAAGTGTTCTCTTCTGCTAATTTCTCATTCATTTCACTCAACAATTAAAATGAAATTCTCATTCTATCAAACACACTCTATAATTGTACATTTGACTATCGAACGTTGTTGAGCAAATCAATTCCATCGCTGTATTGTTGATTTCGGTTGTCAACAATCGTCAATGTGTCCAGTAAATAGTATATACTACAGAATGAGAAGTTTATTTGAGCGATGAAGTTAAATGAGATGAAGTGAATAAGAAAAACTGATCAATAGAACGGTATTCACATGTAATAGCTATGAGAGTGAATAGAACACGTCCAAAAAGAATGAGAATTCATCAGAATCAGTTTGAAGTGTATGAGCGTGTCATAGACAATTGCTTTTCATGCAATCATAATCAATTGCAATACTGAGGAACTCAACGGTGCAGATGAATCAGGTCATGATGTAGACATGAATTTGGCTTATCACATAAGCAGTTTTCACGCAATCGCATCGTTATTTCTGATAGAGTGTCGTTCAGTACAGACATTTTGGTATATTAATAAATGACGGAGTGCTCTGGAGCACTTGAGTACAAAGTGAACATGAAACAGGGAGTGCTCATGACTGTGAGCAGTTAGCGAGCCACAGTAAATGCATGACAATGAGTGAGCAACTCATGAGTTATGTCCATTAACAGCTTTGAAATTTCTGCTTGCCTCGCGAGCATCAAACGGACGATACCTTTCATCAGAAATCTCGTATCACTGAGTATTAACTGGTTTGAATTGAGTGTACAAGTGTCGTTGAATTTAGGTGGTGCGAAAGGTGGAATAAAGATAGATCCAAGGAAATATACAGAATATGAGATAGAGAAGATCACACGAAGAGTTGCAATCGAGTTCGCGAAGAAAGGTTTTCTGGGACCTGGAGTCGACGTTCCGGCACCAGATATGGGAAGTGGTGAGCGTGAAATGGGATGGATCGCGGACACTTACGCGCAGACAATCGGTCATTTGGATAAAGATGCGTCTGCGTGCGTTACCGGAAAACCGATCGTTACCGGAGGTTCGTCTAGATCAGTTATTTTCGATCAAATCACAGTGGAAAGCTGATCGAATTCGTGCATCCATTCGTTTAGATAATGCATTGGTAATGAGATTTTTCGGCATTTAGGGTGTGGCGAAAATATAGATTCGGAATGCTTTTTAAAGCTCAGTTTTGCTGTATTATTAAATGAAAATTGATACTGTAAACTGACAAACTTCTGTAACCGCAAAATTTTCAATAGACATCCTTCCAATGAACTGAACAAAAAATGCGATGACAAGCTGATGATTACATGGTATAACTGGGTATGAGGAGGAATTGTTGTGATGTGAAGAAAATAACTTCAATAGGAATTCATGGACGCGTTTCTGCAACTGGACGAGGCGTTTGGCAAGGCTTGGAGGTGTTCTTGAATAACAAAGAAATAATGTCAGCAATTAAATCCGACCTTGGTCTACAAGGCAAAACGTTCATTGTTCAGGTTGATATTTGAGTATTGCCAACTTTAAAAAAATTATCATCTGCTTTTACGTTGAACTTGATGTGAACAAGCACATTTCAGTTCACACTCAGTGATTCAGTTCAAATCCGAAAGCATCGATCTCGTCATTCTCACTCTCCTTCTGGGTCTATCTGACATGTAAAGAAACAAACGATCTATCGAATTCGGTGTCTGACGAGATACGACAATAAACTTTACTTCATGCCGTTTAAGACCAGTGCACAGCTAATCGTGTCAGTGAAAAGAGGCTAACAATCGTATTTAGTGATATTTTTTTAAGGGTTTCGGCAATGTTGGTCTGCATACAATGCGTTATTTGCACCGCGCTGGCGCTATCTGCGTTGGTGTACAAGAGTGGGATGGTGCTATCCAGAATCCGCAAGGAATTCATCCGAAAGAACTGGAAAATTGGAAACTTGAAAACGGCACCATCAAAGTAAGAGGAAATCTTGCCGATGTATTGTTCAGTCTGGGTGAATTATCATTGATTTCATGGAGTCAACTAATGAAAATGATTTCGAAAATTTCAAGGGATTAACACTGAAAGTCCAAATGAGTGATTAATTCACGAAACCTAAGATCATTTTATGTACGTGTGTGTGCATCGCTCATATTGGAATTGAGCAGTATGCATAACAACTTGTTTCATGTTCAGGGTTTTCCAAATGCAACGAATTTCGAACCATTCGAAGAGCTGATGTTCCAAAAATGTGATATTCTCGTACCGGCGGCTTGCGAAAAAGTCATTCATAAAGAGAATGCTCACAAAATCCAAGCGAAGGTTGCTAGCTATACACGCTTGACTATATTTCATTTCTTGTAAAAAAATGTTCAGTGCTTGAGCGAAGAATTTCAAAAACTTTGAGAACATTGCATATAACCTGAACATTGTTTCGGTTATCTTCCATTGTTGAGTGACATTTTGCTTTGTTTGACTGGAATTGTGT